CCATTGGGTATACTGGGCAGCGCCAATGCTCAGTGCAGCGGTGAGCGCCACCTTTTACAAAGTGATTTTCAAGCGGGATATGGTGGAGCGGGAGCTGAACGAAAAGAGATGACTAGGAGCATAAACATATAAAATTACCATCTGATTAAACATATCTCTCGAAAAAGTTAAAGTGCGCTATAAAATATTCAAATATTGGTGGCTAAATAAATTTGGGAGCGTACCGACTTGCAACTACCATAGAAACATACATCCAAACCAGCTTATACGCATTCAAGCAACGCCTTCAAACAAAAGGAATTTCATTCWACTTCAATGTGTCAAATAGCAATCATACGTCAAATGTATATACATATTTTTATATCTCATCAATCAATTTTCTTCATAAATTCTATATTCTTTTATTGTCCATTTTCTCAATGTAATAAAAACATATACGATAAGTGTTGTGTATAAACTGATTTTGTAGAAAGTTAATTCCTCGTCCATCTTTTATGACAAATGAAGTTCAATAAGCTTTTYTTCGTACAAATTTTCGGTGAATTCTGTGCCGCTTCGATGTGGATGCAGTTACATTGTTATGGCATTGATCCATTAGTTGCCGAAGGTGGCGTAATGTCGTATGGTCTCTGTGACGGCTGCGCACTGATGATAATCATACAGACATTCGGTTGTGTATCTGGCGCCTACATGAATCCCTGTTTAACAGTTGCCGGCGTCATTATGGGAAAACTGAAGTGGGATTTGGCCATATTTTATGTGATTATGCAATATTTGGGTACGATGCTCGGTTTGATACTGGCTTATTACACAACTCCGGCGATGACGAGATCAGATMTCTATTGTGTAACTGATTTGTCACCACAGACCTCTATACTCGGCGGTTGCCTTTTGGAATTCCTCATGACTTCAGCATGGGTGTTGGCTCAGTGCTCTGCCTGGGATAAGCGCACTCAAGGCATTCAAGAATCCATATCTTTACGTATGGGCGCGGTAATGATGTCACTGGTACTTTGCGCGGTGAGTARATTGTGATTGTGATTGTGATAAAACTCTCAATTGCTCAATTATTTGCGGAGATAATATTTACATATATAAATAAGTCWTCAGAGGTAAGTGGGATTTTCTGGAGATGATCTTTCCCTTCGTTCGATATAGGGTCAAATATTTTACCAATTAAGGTTTTTATAAGTTTCAGGTCATCGCAATATTTCTAATGCATCAGAATGAA